GCCTTGTTGGTTTTGCCTGGCCGGGCCGACGAGCATGACCACACGGTGAGGGGCGCAGCGCGCCTGAAGCCACGGGGACAGACGGGCCTGCTCTTTCTCCCTCCCTCCCTCATCCTTCGGCGGCGGCTCCCCTGCCGGGGTGCGGGTGCGTCTTTGCGCGGCGTTGCAGAGGCCAGAGCCCGAGCCAGCGCGGATCGACCCGATCGGTCCGCGCGGGACGGGACGGGACGAGCGCGCGCGTGCGAGGAAGAGTTGTTTCGTGGACCATTGAGAGCCGACGTCTTAGTGAGAGGTGGTCTCTTTCCCCTAGGGGGGTGGGGGGGCGGTTGCGAGCGGCCTGTCCAAGTGTAGCTCTCCTCTTAATAGCGTGTCTCGCTGAATGCCGTAGAGCGATCTTGAAAAAGCCTGTCGAGAACGGCAGCCTTTGTTCGAGCAACACTGAGGTTACTGACCATTTCTTATCCGTTGATGGTGACACCAGACTGTTAGAGCTTGGAAAACAAAACCGCATTTGTTAAATATAAATATAAAAAGTCGTCCTGGTTAAAAAAAATAGTAAATCCCGTTCGGAATTGATCTTCCCAAAAGCAGGCAGAAATGCCATAAAATATACTAATGTTACAATTCGGGATAAATTCAGATAGCTAATTCTGAGAGACAGCAGTGCGGCTCAAGATATTTTGGCTTCCATCCTACCAAAAGAAGTGTTTTTTTGTCTTTAGTTCAGCTGAGCCACGTTAATGCTGGTAATTAAACACTGGGCCCTGGATGTGTTTTGTGGCTTTGGACACTGACTGGTTATGCCCAGCCAAGGTACAGTTTGTTTAGTGCATTATGGGAACTCAACCATTATATCTTATTCAGTTGATCATGATAATCTGTTTCCCACAAAAAAGACATGATCTGCTTTCTTTGTGCAGAGAAACAACCTGTATGCTTAGACGTCTATAATTTGTATCATATGGGCTATAACTGTAATATAGCAGGTCTGTAAGATAACTGTTAGCAAAGACCTCCATTACAAATGGGAGATACAGAGGGAAGCTTGAGAAAATAGTAAAGTGTAAATTTAATTAAAATCTCAAGAAATTGCAGTATTTAAACCGGGACTTCTCTGTTTGTCTCTTTAGTTTTTCTAAACCCTTCTATACTGTCCTGTTTTTAGAAAGTCAAATTAAGGTAGAAACCACATAATAGAAAATACAGGCAATATAAAACATGAAATCCAAGTGCTTAAAACAAAATAATAAGATAGCTGGTATAAACCAAAAGTAATTAGAAAAAGTTTTTAAAAGTAGCAAACTTTGTTGAAAGCAGTAGGAACTTGTCAAATGGATTATAGTAATGAATAATACTGGTGCCAGTATAGTAATGTAATCCTTAGATTATTGATGAGTTCAAACCTAATACTAAGCCATAAACCAGTGCTAAGGGCTATACTTTTTTAAAAGGGGGAGATTATTTTTGGTGTTGGGCAATGGGTATTGACAATGTAAGGAACAAATGGGTGAAGCTAATTTTAAAGTTATTTAATTTTCAGGAATTTTTGAAATTGGGTTGCTGTTTTAGACATATTAAGCCTTATCTGACAACTTAACATCTCTTAGTTTTCTGCTGGCAGACAGTGAAAATGTGCATCGCTGATTTCAAGGATTTCCCAAAGATTTTACTGGTGCAATCCAAGGATGCTCCAGGAGGCAGCAGAAAAAAGGGCATTCTAGGAACTGCACATGGGCTGTGTATTACCCACTTCTACCAACTATGTTTTACATAGTGGCTAGGTTTGCATTATGGCTTAGTGTGACCCTTGCCCTTGTAATGCTGCTCAAAAGCCATCCAGTAGTAAAACTAAGAAAGACAGCGAGTACATAGTATAACTCTTAATGATTATTCCTTGAGAGTCTGTGGTTGCAATATATTTATTTTTTATTTTTAATCCATTCAATCATGTCCAATTCTCAGAAACTGCCGGGACAAGTCCCTGCAGTTTTCTTGGCAAGATTTCAGAAGTGTTTTGCCATTGCCTCCTTCCTAGGGCTGAGAGAAGGTGACTGGCCCAAGTTACCCAGCTGGCTTTGTGTCTAGGTGGGACTAGAACTCCTGGTCTTCTGGTTTCTAGCCTGATGCCTTAACCACTATGCCAAACTGGCTCTCTATATTTTTCTATATGGAGAAATATAGAATATTTCTATACTACACAGCAAGTAACAATAAACGGCACTACTGCTTTGAGGAGCTCTCAGTATATGTATAAGGGCAGAGAAAGAAGGAATGTGAGAAACCAAGGTAATGGGGAAATAATGTGTGGAACATTCTGAGACATATTTGGGCCTTACAATTAATTGCACGGGTATCCTTGAGAAGAGATTCAGCCATTAGAAGAAGGAAGGATAAAGAGTGACCTAGACAAATGTTAAAAGCATGTATAAGCAATATGGCACAAAATACAGATAATATTCAGTTTTTAAAGGTAAAAAAGGAGTTCCTTGAAAGAAGAGAATAGGAACCCAGTGTAAGAATGAGCAGTATGAAGATATGCATTAAAGTGTTGTGATAGAAGTAGAAAAACTGAATTAGAAGAACTAAAGGGTTGGCTGAAAAGAGAACATTTTCCCCCAGTATTGTACAGGGAAAAGCAACATGCATTGCAGCATATTTGCATATGTGAAGCAAAGGAGAATCTAAGAAGTTCAAGACTAACAGGTTGGCTGATGATGTGAATGATAGAGAGCAGTCTAAGAGTAGAAAGCTTAGAGACTGAACATGTCAGAGTCAAAGCATCCAGGAGAAATATCAAGTAAGTAACTGAGATACATGTAAGTATTATGGGAGAGCCAACGAAGTGAATGAAATTGCAAGGGCATTGTGTAAGCAGAAAGAAAAGGGCAAAGCTGTTACAGAAATGATGGAAACATTGGAACGATAGGAGATCATTACAATATTGAGAGATAGTTGGTGTAAAAGTAAAGAAAAGAAGTAACTGGCCTAATCAGATGGAAATTACATGAAAATATGTGCAGAGGAATGTTGTTAGAGTTGGTTGTGAATCAGCCTTCTGTGTGAAAATGTGTGATGAGAGCACTGAAAATGTGTGATTGTAGTGTAGGTGTAGACAACATAGTACCTCTAGGCACCAGAACTGCTGCCATGCCTTAAAATGGCTCTGATGATCCACCATGTTAAATTGAAAGTTTTTGTAATGGCTGAGGTCTCACACTAACATTATTGAAATGTTATGAAATTTGGGTCATTTAAAAAAAAAGTAGATGCAGGTGTGTGTTTGATACCTGCATTAATGTGTGGTATTTATTTAAGCCTTGGAGTCCAGTTAGGTGTTTTCTGTTTCTAGAAATCCAAAATATATCAAAGTTTGGAATTCTGGATTCAGTTTCCATGTTTTCTGCTTAGTAAGGCATAGTGCTTTTTTCCAGTAACATATAATGAAACTGCTATTCTCTACTATACTTAACAGTTTCAGATCTAAGTAAGGTAGCAAATTAATGTTATAGAATGGCATGTTTGGGAAGACCATAACAGTAATTATAAGTTGTTAATATTCTATGTGTGTGTTTTTGTGGATTATATCTTGGCTATATGAATAGCTTTTCAGACCACTCTAAAATGCCACGATTTTCTTTTTAATAATATTATTAGGATAGAAACCAGGAGATTGTGAGTTCTAGTCCCACCTTAGGCACAAAACCAGCTGGGTGATCCTGGGCCAGTCACTTTCTCTCAGCCGTATGAAGGAGGCAATGGCAAACCACTTCTGAAAAACCTTGCCAAGAAAACTGCAGGGACTAGTCCAAGCAGTCACCAGGAGTCAAAAACTGGCTTGAAGGCGCCAAATAAATAAATAAATAATTGTAGGACTTACAACACAGGTTTTGAGTGTTTTCCATTTCAGAATGGCAGAAATTATTAGCAATTTTCAGCAAAAGTTGTCAGAGGTGGCTTTGGTGCCCACAAAAAGAGGGTTCAGAGGCTGCGTATTTCATTGAATAAGTTTATATGTGACTGCTAAGTATATGTTTTTGTTAAAATAATAGCATTGGCAAGTTCTACATTTGTAGATGGCAATTTGTCAAAAAGTGAGAAGAAGGTTGGTGGTTTTTCAAGTTGCTGGTTTGGAATTTTGGGAACTGTAGTTCCAAGACATCAGGTTGGTTCTGATCAGGTTGGTACCATTAGTTGGTAGCAAACTGACTGGGTACACACATCATGCTAAGCCCTTGTGTGATTTTCTTAGTTTTAGCTTAGTATTTTATGTAAATCTGGTCATTGTGCTTTGTAAATAAAAAGGTAAAAGAAGCATAGTTGTTGACTGTGTCCACATTGCTTTCTCGACAGCAATAGAGAAACTGTTTGTCATTATCTTCTTCTGAGCCATTTATTCAGCTTTTCTGTCTTAGCCTGCAGCCCTGGGATTTACTGGTGATTTCTCTTACATGTACTAATCAAGTCCAGCCCTGTGTAGTTTTTTGAACATAGCCAAGATCAGCTGGGTGCTGCCATCTAGCTGAGTGCTTTATAAATAGCTTGATACAGTGTGCAGACACCAGCTAGTGTTAGTCCTGGCTAACTAATTATGCAACAAGCAGAAAATGAATGCAAGAAAAAATGTTTTGCTCATGCAGTCACTCCCTAATCTTTTTTTTTCTAATGTATTACTTTGGGCTGCCAAAGCGAGAATGGAAGCATTTCCAAAAGGGCACAGATAGATCTTAAGCTTTAAGGGGACTATTAAACCTAAACAGAGGGTTATATACAGGTACACCTGGCTTACCGACTGCCTCATGCAGTGACTGTTCACAGTGCTAAAAAAATAACTTTATGACCAAGGTGCACATTTATGACCTTCACAGTGTCTCTCTCAGTCACATGTTCGCCATTACAGTGAGTTAGTATACACTGTCCTGTGCCTGACCTGTTTTTTTCCTCCCCCATCCCTTGCAGAGTGGAAAGATTGCCTAAACAAGTGATCTCTTTAGGCAATCTCTCCTGTGCCTGACCCTTTTTTTTCTCCCTACCCCTTCGCAGAGCAGAAAGATTGGAGAGCAAGAGAGCTGTGAGAACACTAGGCAAACAGGTGGTACTAGTGCATTTCTTTCAATGTGTATTCTCCATTGTGTG